CAGTTGTGCAGTCACCTTATAGTAATTTCATCTAGACCTCATTTCCCTAGGTTACTTAGGAGAATACCATGCAGCACTGTGTCAAAAGCCTTACTAAAATCAAGGCAGATCACATCTACTGCTTCCCCTCATTCCACTAGGCTGGTAATCCTGTCTAAGTAATCCAATCAAAGAATATCCCTATGGATTCAATAGGCCACAAGGTAACTGATCTTAAAAAAAGAAAACAGCTGACCCGGCTTTTCTCATCAAGGAGATACTGATTCTGCTAGTGCTTTAGTATGATGAAAGAGGCGCCTTTTCATAAAAGTCACTTTCCACTTGAGCGTATGGAAACAGCTATCCTTTATCATTGGGAGAATCTTTTTTTAAAGTATCAGTTATGCTTAGAAAATTTAACTAATTATTTCAGAATCTTCCAAACTTTACTTCTTGAATATTGCTTAATGCAGAAGTTAACATGAGGGAGTTTGTCTACTGGCTCTACCAGGATACTAGGAATTAGGACTTTTGAGTTTTCTCTCCAGCCTTGCCAACGATTTATTGTATGACCTAGCTCAAATCACTTTATCTTTATCAGTTTATTGATTTGTAAAATGGCTGTAATAATATGTCCTTCTCTGGGATGCTGCAAGGTGTAATCCTTTGCTATATAATAGCAAAGTACTAATAGTGAGCTTTCCTATCTGATATTCTTAGTCTTTAACAAACAAAAATGTTATGCCCATGAACTGCCTTCACTTTCTCCTTCTGTCGACTGTTTTAAATTAAAATAAGCATAAATATATTTCAAGCCCTGTATACTATCACGAGAACTGAAGCACTAAAATGTGGATAGATATTTTGCTACACATAAATGTTTTATTTTTCTCTTTTTCAGTTGCATGATATGCTGTCAGAATGACCACAAGGTACTGGATGTTTCCTGTAAAAGGACTCCTAAACCTTTCTCTGATACAGAATTTAGTATTAACAGCCATGCAAAATATGTAAACTTGTCATAAGTTGCATAAAACAGATCACAACAGCAGTCAAAAATCAGGGAGATGAAAAAGACAGCATTAAATGGGAAAAGGCATATACTGTAGTTACTCCAAGAAATCAGACTGAAGTATATGCAGCTGATGTATATTTTTAGATTTTCTTTGCTTGGAAAAACTCTTCAATGCCCATAAAATTCTAATAAGAAACTAAAAAAAATGAATGCCGGCTCAATATAAATATTTATTCAGTGTTAGAACCATTTATATGAGTTTACCAATTGTATAAATTATTTAGACAAAAATGTACCCCTTCTTTTATTGGCTCTGGAGCAGTTTGCAATCCAAAGAATTAGATTTATTCAAGACACTGAACTCACATTTTCATTGTTATTGAAAACTGTTAAATACACCATTACGGCAGAGAGCCTTTCTACTGTCTTCTATGTTCTCTATATTTAGTTCTCCCCACCACAAACAGAACACATTGAGGCTTGATCCCCAAAATTTGTGGATCTAAGAGATCCACTGGAAATCCAGGTCTGCCCACATATAAATCCACCACAAGCAGCACCCTTATAATTTCCCACCCAGCTCTTTGGTAGCTTGGCTCTCCTCTCTTGCTGCTAACCTTGCGAAAATAGCCAAAAGAAATTCCAGTGTGGAACAGGCTCTACAGAAAAATTCATCCATGCTCTGGCTCAGTCCTGGTCCTTGTGGAGACTCCTTTGTAGGATTTCATTTAAAAAGGAGGACCAGTGCTTCAGAGGAAGCCAAACCACCATCTCTTTCCCTCTCTCCCTCCCCCTCAGACACATGGAGATCCATGTGTGGCTCTGTCAATTCAGTCTGAATGTGAAACATTACTAGATGCTGATGTAGAACAGTTATGTTTTGTTTTAATGAACATATATAATCTTTGGGGAGTTTAAGTTTATTATGTTTGTGAAGTAACATTTTGTATGGTTATCCTGAACTAGCTTCTGTTTCAGTTCTTTATCCCTTTCTGTTTTAAAATATATGTAATTTAAGTGAATGTGATTTCTGGACAATGGTAGGGTGTAAAAAAAACAGACTGGAAACTGAGCAACAAAACTACAAAGAGAATTTGAGATTGACAGTCAATCAGAATTACCAACTGAGATTCCCCTGTTCACACTTCAAGGTTAAAAGCATCCATGTTTTGGTAAACAAACTAAAAAATTCTTGACAAGGTCAAATGTTTGCTTCAAAAGCTATAAATGGAACTGAGGAAACTCTTAAGAAGTTGGAAAATGAAACAACAGCGGTTGTATTCTGTCCTCAGTTGGCTTCAGCGGCTTAAGATATGAGCCTTTCTTAAAACTTGGAGGCTAGCATTGGAATGATATGCTTGTGTCAAGCAGGAGGGCTCCTACCCAGGGGAGTGGATTATACCTGAATAAATGGTATAATCCCAGGTAAAAAAGATACAAATATTTTAATGTAGAACTGTACCTGCAACTGACTGTTGTCATTTTTCATTATTTTACAATTATGCTATTAAAGTCTACATTTTTGCTGTATATGTCAGGACATTTGCTTTTAATTAAATTACAAGTGAGTGCTACCAAAAGTTACACCCTGAATGTAGCAGAAATAGATGATATTATAATCACACCTGTCCTCGCCCCTCGTCACTCTGATGTACCTCTGTACTTTCCATTTTCACCGAGGACCAGAAACTGAAGTACTAATGAACCAGAAAGTCATTCACGAGAAGACTTGTTCTCAAAATATTGTGCTATGATTTTTAGACCAAAATAATATGAAGAAGTTGAGATGTCCAGTGTACTTTTAGATGCTTATCTCAATTATACAGGACCTCCAAACATTTTGAGGTTCATCTATGATTACATTGTTAGTGGAAAACTGGCCTCATAAATATTTCAGTAAGTATTTTAAACAAAATTTGCTGGCTTCATATATTATTTACTTAAACTAATAACGTTTTAAAGGCATTTTGTGGGGAAAAAAGTCATTTGTTTTGGCCAAACCAAAATATCACATGACGCAACCATTGAAAATGTCCTTGCTACACAACCTAAATCCTTCTGAATCTGGAAGAATTCAATTTTTGAACAGTAAATACTACTTGTAGTAAGTATTTCTATTACAAAAGGTTACCAAATGTATTAATGGGATCCAGAAAGATGTTTCAAAGTAGAGATCTAGCATATAATAAACAATATAAAAATTGTAAACTGGGTTTTTGAGACATTCCAAAATATAAATATGGATGCAGTTTAACTGAACTTTGAAGATGCTGCTATTCATGATTTTATTCAGAGGAGTAACAAGAAAAGAGATATGAGGGAAAGAAACAATGAAAACATGCTCAAAGAACAGCAAAACCCTGCGGGTTAGATGGCAATCAAGAATGACTCTTCCTGATTGCACTTGTGAGACAAAGGGTCTCTTCTTCTCAGGATGGTGAAGGTCGAAGGGAGTGTCCTAATTTTTTTTCAGGCCTCTGGAGAACACTGTGGTTCATATTGCTCCTCAGAGTTTTCAGAGGATGATTCATGGGCTACATCTATTTTGGCGATTGGATACCTGTACAGAGCCATGTGTATGCTTATCCCATACCCACATCAGGTGTCCATATGTGCCGTGCTGAACATGAATATATGTCCTGAACCTGGCTATACCCAGTATAGTACAGTGAACACCCGCCCATGCCAGACTCTCTGAAACTTCCTGGTATAGCTGTGAATTCCTGGTACTGGAGGACAATGAACTCCAACCAGACATTTATCAAGGCCTGGGTGTGCTTGGCTGACACAGAGCTGACAGACAGCTGCTCTCAGAGTATGTTCCTTGTTTATAAGTGCTGGTGAAAAGAGTCCAGCAGAAAATTGGTGAAGTAGTCAGCACAGCTTGCTACTATGGGTGACAGCAGGGACAGGGACCTTTATATTTCTGGATAAGGGTCAGGCAGGAAAGGGTTCAGAGTGTTGTGGGAACAGGGTTGGAGGACTATTGAACTCAGTACCTGGGACATGCACCTTATCCTTGTCCACACTACAAATTGACACAGGTACAAGGCTATGCCACAGCCTGAAGCATGTTCACATCCAGGCCCCTTAGGCTTGCTAATGTTCTTGCCCTGTACACACTCTGAAACCTGTGCTCCTGGGGTTTAGATGTGGTTGGTGAGGGGGGCTCTGGCACAACCATATGCTTGGACCTGTGTGCAGTCACCAGTGTAGATGCAGCCATGGAGTTGCATAGGTGTCAAAGGATAGGCAACAGTGAGCAAAGTAATGGAAAGTGAAAACAGAATGAAGATTCAATATACAAATTGTGGGATTAGGATATATATTTTACATCTGCTAAATTTCACTATGGCCCTGTCTTGATGGGCAAAAATAATTTGTTTTTTTAATCGAAAAAGATCTAGATAAGTTCATGGAGGATAGATCCATCAATGGCTATAAGCCAGGATGGGCAGGGATGGTGTCCCTACCAACTGGGAATGGGTGACAGGGGGATGGATCACTTGATGGTTACCTGTTCTGTTCATTCCCTCTGGGACACCTGGCATTGGCCACTGTCAGAAGACAGGATACTGGGCTAGATGGACCTTTGGTCTGACCCAGTATGGCCACTTTTATGTTCTTATATAATAATGTTAAGCTAATCAAGTTGACACACCCACCCTCCACCCCAGGCTACAACACAGCCACATAACATGGCTTCAAATGTGTTAGTTTACATCTTAACTTTTTAACATCTTTTTAATCATATTAACTTATTATTAAGCTAACTTGATTGAATAACCCACCCTTGTGCCCATCAAGACATACCCAAAAATAGGACAATGATTTGGGATCTGAGAGTCATATTGGTAAACAACATCCTTAGTCTTGATAGTGAAAGAATGAGAACTTGGCGTTTAATGTCTGGAGCCATTTACCTCTCCCCTCCAAGTACAAAACAACAACAAAAACCAAAAATAAAAATCTTGGTTCCAACAAATTAACTTTTATCTCCACTTACCATCAAATTCTGCAAGCCTTCTAATATCTGCTCCAAGTTCTGAAGTAACTGGTAAAGCCTGACGTACTTTTAGGTTAGTCTCACTGTAAAATTAATAACATGACCTTTATATAAGACTCTTTCCATAACCCTCAGGCCCTGCCTTCTCTCACCCACAGGAACCTATGTTCAGTACCATAGAATCTGACTTTGTGGACTAAGATAGCACATTTATAGAAAGACAGACATTCAGACAGCTCTTTCTAATGTTATTCTGGAAGAACACATTTTAATTTTTGTAACTGATTCTAAAACATAAGAAGGAGCTTCAGTTTTAATAAGTGCTGGCACTGTAATGAATGCACATCTGCATAACTATAATTTGTTTTGTTTCTTTGAACAGAGGACATCATAAATATGATTTAGTCAGAGCCCATCCAGTCATCATGCACAAATTACTAACTGCAATAGGAATGGCAGAGCAGTTACCAGTTGAAAGAGATTAACACCACGGCAAATTTTGATATTTGAGTTATGAAAAAAAAGGTTTTCATAAAAATGTAATAAACCCTAATTTTACAGTAGCTGAAACTGAACTGGGGAAAAGGGGAATTGGAGTCACCCTTTCTTAGGAGGTGGTTTGAGAGAGCTCCCTTTATGGCTAAATACTGATTTACTTACAGGGACCAAAATTTTCCAAACTTCAATCACTAAAGCTAGGCACCTAAAGAAGTGGTTGCTGAGCAATCGCAGCTGCCACTGACTATACATTGAACTAATCTCCCTTAGAAAATAGGAAAAATGGGATACCCTGGCTGAGGCCTTTCTCAGAGTCCTAGATACAGTAACTCCTCACTTAATGTTGTAGTTATGTTCCTGAAAAATGCGACTTTAAGTGAAACAATGTTAAGCGAATCCAATTTCCCCATAAGAATTAATGTAAATAGGAGGGGTTAGGCTCCAGGGAAATTTTTTTTTTTTGCCAGACAAAAGGCATTAGATACATTTTAAACAATTTTAAACAAGCAATTTAATAGAGGTATTAAACAGGCTGGCAGCCCCCCTATCAGCTCCCCTGGCAATCAGCTGGTTTGAGGTGTTCAGGAGACTGGGGAAGGAGCGAGGATGTGGCGCGCAGCCTTCCTCCTCCCTCCCCTGCCTCTTGAACCCCGCAAACCAGCTGACTGCTGCGGGCAGGAGGCAGGGGAGGGAGGAGGGAGGCTGTGCGCCGCGTACTCGCTCCTCTCCCCAGCCTCCTGAACGCCGCAAGACAGCTGATTGCCGCGGGCAGGAGACAGGGGGAGCAGGGGGAAGGTGCTGATCCATGGGGTCTGCTGGCAGGCGGGAGGCATAGGGGAACTGATAGGGGGGCTGCCAGCCGTGGACAAAGCAGGCGGCCAAATGATGTTATAGCGGAGCATTGCACAACTTTAAAAGGGCATGTTCTGTAATGGAGCAGGGACATAACATCGAAACAACGTTAAGCGAGAGGACGTTAAGTGGGGAGTTACTGTATTCCAAATAAAGGGGTCTAGAACTTTGGATGTGTCCTCAACTGCTGCGCTTTAAGGCAGGAAAAAGTAATGTTAAAGATCACATACTTTTCTAGAAAGAAGTGCAACATCTCCTAAGTGAACACACTTGCATATGGTTGGTGGAACAGATATTGGCATATGTAACAATAATAAAATCAAAACAAATTAATGCCTCAATTTTTAGTGCAGGCTAAGCTATGTCCATGTTAAACTAGTACAGTATCTACAAATTTACCAGTATCTAAACCAATGATGTCAGTCATTCACCCCTGGAAAAAAATATATATTACTTTCTTCAAGTTAGAATACTAATTCTTTTAAAGAGGTGAAGTCTGACATGCAAATAGGTGGTTAAGGAAACTATTCCCAACAGTCTCTCTTGATATTCAGAAACTCAGTATGAAAGGTTCATATAGATAGATATGCTATAAAGAAGTTTGTTAGAGCAGGTTTTTTTACTTTGGTTTTATTATGATGATTTTATATGTTTATATATCTATCTGTTATTCAGTTTTATACTTCATTACATTTTTTGGTCTTATGTAAGACTATTTATCTCCATGAACTATCATTCACTATCATTCACATCAGACTATTTAGGTTCTTATACTGTCATTTATCACCATGATATCTGAGTATATGGCACCAATGAGCACAAAGAAAAATGTGACTTCCTTAATTATTATTTGTTATTGGTTATTGGTTTCTAGTAGCACCCACATTGCAGTAGGTGCTGTATAAGGACCAAAGACATGAGCCCTGAACTTTGTGATGATCATCACATGAATGTATTTAAAACTGTTACTGCATTTGACAAGTACACCATTCACACGCTGTTCACCTGTAAGTGGAGTTCTCTGAGACAGATTCTACACATTCCCACCCTTGGGATGTGCTAGCAGTGCAGCTCTGATGGTGCAATGCTTCACAACAGTGCCATTGGAGCTCTCTCACACCCCTCCTGCCCCTCCCCTCACTGTTCCTGAATGTTCTGACAGAGAGGCTATAAAACAGTGGCATGCTGCTCCAGCTGCTTCGGCTCCTTCCAATGACTCCTCAGGTCCATGGCTGTAATAAGGTCTCTGAGGAAGACAGACGGGGATTGCGAATGTGTGGAGTTTATATAAAAATACTCTGGCTAAAGGTGAGTTTTACTTTGAGTGGTCTCTACACATTTCCACTCTTGGGATAATCTGATAAGCAGTACTGTGAAATGAGGAAGGTGGGACATGGAGTCTTAATTAAACAATGATTGAAGTACTACTCTACAAAACTGCAGTTCGGACCTGGATGCTAAATCAACAGAGTTCAGTGAATGTGTACATACAGATCCAAGCTGCAGCTCTGCAGATTTCAACAATGGTGAAATATTTAAGGAACATCAAAGATATCACTAGTGTCTTAGTTTCTGAGGCAACTGGGGCTGATGCAGGCCTATCTTTATTCACAGAACAGAAATGATTGATACCAGAGGGTTTAGCCTCCAGGGCCTTCTGCAATGGAAGGGCGTGGAATTGGTTTTGATGCTCCTTAGAGATTCTTGGGAGTAAAGGTGTGACGTTGCACCCCGTAATGCTTTATAGAAATATGCTTATGAATGTAAATATGACATAATGACATATGACATATGGAATATAAACAGGAATACTTGTGGCACAAATGGAATATGTTTCATGCTACATATGCCATGTAACATATCTTTGCAAAGGTTATGTTCTACTGAATGTATTCATCCAATTCATATGCATATATCATTTTTATATCTGAAGTTATTAGCGTTGGCTCTATGCTTGTATTTAAAGTGTTTGCTGTAGGAAGCACCTAAGGCAAATCTTGGTCAACATAGTGTGAAGGGGTTATTCAAGTAATTGGGAGTACTTGGCTAACAATGGACCTTGACAGATGCCAATCCACATCTGAGCTTTCCTGGGAACATTCAAACTAGCATGTGGACAATGGCGTCGGCCTGTAAAGAACTGAGTCATGCATGGACATGTGACTTGCCCATGTGACTCCAAAACTCCATCTTGTAGCTGTAATTCCACACAGGGGGAGAGAGGGGTTTCCATCCACAAGAAAGAGACTATATAAGCCCCAGGGAAACCCCTCCATTTTGTCTTCAGCTGGCTCAAGAGATAGCCTCTCCACCCCAAAGGATGACTGAAAGAAAGTGGAACAAAGGACAGTAACTACAGGGGTGTGAGTGATTTCTGGACCCAGACTAGAAGGAGGCTAGTCTGCCAAAGAGGCTTATTGGAACATCTCTCAGGGTGAGATATACCTGCATTTAGTTTCCTACTGTATTAGGCTTAGACTTGTGTGTTTTATTTTATTTTGTTTGGTAATTTACTTTGTTCTGTCTGTTATTACTTGGAACCACTTAAATCCTACTTTTTGTATTTAATAAAATCACTTTTTACTTATTAATTTACCCAGCGTATGTATTAATACTTGGGGGGTAAAATGGATTTATACAGGGTAAAATTGATTTATTTAGGATTTGGGAGCTGGGTATAGGAGTGCTGGAGACAGGAGCACTTCTTAAGCTGTTTTCAGTTAAGCCTGCAGCTTGTGGGGGACGTGGTTCATACTTGGATCTGTGATTGCAGCAAGCAAGCGTGTCTGGCTCAAACAAGGCAAGGTACTGAAGTCCCAAGCTGGCAGGAAAAACGGGCTCAGAGGTAGTCTAGGCACATCAGGTGGCAGTCCCAATCCGGTTTCTGTTATGCAACCCGTCACAAAAGCTTCTACATATTACGCACCAAGAAGGAGCGTGTCCTTTTCCTAAGTATGCTAGATACCTTCCATCTTTCCCAACTCTGGCCATCAGAGGTGGGAAAGATGGAAGGATAAAATCCTAGCCACTTTCCTTTTGGAACCACCATAAGATCCATGAGACTGCACTGGGGTGCAGAACCTAGAGGAGCCTCAATAAATAAAAATAAAAGAAAGAATTTCAAATAAAATAATACAATATAAAGGACTAAACTCACTCCAAAACTAACCAAAAACTAAAACTATCCAATGGCACTGTTGATTGAAGAAGTGGATCCAGGGAGGATCCAGTCTCCGCAAACACAATGGGAAGGAACAGAAGAAACTGGAGTGTCACACCTCCATTTATATCCTTGCCCTCATAACATTCAGGAATAGCAAGAGAAGGGGTAGAAGGGGGTGCAAAAGTGTTCCAACTTCCCTGCTATTAAGTGTAAAACTGTCAGAGCTGCACCACAAGCATATCCCAAGGGTGGGACTATGTAGCGGCCACTTGAAGAAGAACATTAGGAATAAAATATATCTGTGATCAATAGCTGGTGTCCACATGCCATACATACATAAATAATATATTTTAAATGTATTATGTTATTCTATTAACTACTCTAACAGATTAAAACTTACCCATCAAGCTCAGCTGTTTCAATGTAACAGAGACCATGTGGTTCACTGCTAGATAGAAGTAATAAATCAGCCTGTAAAAAAAAAGTGATGTTAAATATATTCTGTAATCTCGAAAAGGATTGAGAAAAGGCTCATATAAGATACAAAAAAAGTTCCAAGATACACCACCATGTTCTCTGTAATTTTTCTTATCTAGATATATAGCACAAATACTTCTTTAAAATTCTCAATGTCTGAAACAAATTTTATTTTTTCCCCTAAATTATCAAACAGAGAAAACGTACATACAGACTTTATGGATCAGACCCTCACCTGGTGTAAATTGGCATAGCTCCAATGACGTCAATAAATCCATGAGGTGGATTAATTGACTTTTTTTTACATAAGGTCCAGATCTTTAGACAGTGTAAATCAGTGTACTTCCATTGAAATTAGATGATAATCTGGTCTAAAATTTGTAAAATTGAGTATTTTCATATTTAAAATGGTTCCCATTCATGAACATTAAGGTTTTGCAATGAAAAATTCCTGCAGGATTTTGGGTACAGGTGATTCAGCATACCATTCATGCATAGTGCCTTCACTACCAGATAGGACTAGAAAAAGTTATTGCTGTGTTGGTGATGCCAGTACTTCACATCATAAAAAGTGTCCCCACTTTTACTTGACAGATCATAGTATTTTTGAAGGAGAATTTATAATATAATAGACCTTGACAGGATGAGCTGTAAATACACTTTTAGGCCCTTATTTTACATAGGCACAAAGGAGTAAGTGAAGAGTGGTTTTCTATACATGTAAATAAAACTTTAAACATTACTCAGATGAATATTTATGTTTGATTACAATACCGTCCTCCTGAGAAAAGTATTTTAAGTTATATAGCGTCAAAGTAAGGGCTTGTCTACACTACCCCGCGGGGTCGATCTAAGATACGCAACTTCAGCTACGTGAATAGCGTAGCTGAAGTCGGCGTACTTAGATCTACTTACTGCGGTGTCTTCACTGCGGTAAGTAGACGGCTGACACTCTCCCATCAAAACCGTTTGTGCTCCTCATTCTGGTGGAGTACCGAAGTCGATGGGAGAGCGCTTAGCGGTCGATTTATCGCGTCTATACTAGACATGATTAATCAACCCCCGCTGGATCGATCGCTGCCCGCCGATCCAGCCGGTAGTGTAGACAAGCCCTCATTTCCAAAGGGGGTGTCAATGCATGTGGGAAACAAGGGGCAACAGCCACACAATACACACAGAAAGATAGAGAGAGGCAAGTATTTGTTACCATTTTATTTCTCTGTGACATGTTCTATGAAAGAAAATATCTGAACTACTTACAGCTACAAATGTATTATTCTCCAGTTTAATGATGTCACCGGGTCTTACAGTCATCCATTTTTCATTCTGTAATCTATGAAAGATAAAACGCACACACATACACACTTATTTTTTTCTAGAAATATGTTTAGTGAGAGATAGTAATTTACACTTGTAGTCTTAAGGTCATTTACAAGGTATTAAATATGCACTATTACACTACAAAATCAATGCTCAGGGTGCCTTACTCAAAATAAACACTATGTTCCATTATTAACAAATCATCTGTATGACAAACTACTGACTACTATCCATTTTAAAATTATTTCTGTTGGTGATAACATTAGTAAAGACTTTATTCAGTAAGATCCCTACCAGATTCCTGTATACTAGAAGGATCTTTGTCATAATCATTGCACATATGACTGGAGAGCAGGAAACAGAGATGGAGAAGGGAAACGAAAACATGAAGCAGCAAAGTGGGGAGGAAGATTTAGATGCATGAGATAAGACATGGAAAAGAGAAGGAAAGAAAATAATGAGAACAAAGAAAACAGAAGAAAAAATGAAATAGCAAGCTGTTTTCAAGCTTGCTTGAACAAGTATTCATTGTTGCTAACATTTGAAAAACTCTTCCATGTTTGCACTGGATAATTCAAATGCATTATAAATACGGCCCTACCAAATTCATGGTCCATTATGGTCAACTTCATGGTCATAGGATTTTAAAAGTCATAAATTGCATTATTTCAGATATTTAAATCTGAAATTTCACAGTGTTATAACTCTAGGGGTCCTGACTCAACTCTGAAGGCAGCAGCGCAGAAGTAAGCATGGCACGGTATGGTATTGCCACGCTTACTTCTGCATTGCTGCTGGTGGGGCGCTGCTTCAGAGCTGGGCGCCTGGCCAGCAGCCTCCACTCTCCGGCCACTGAAGGCAGTGCAGAAGTAAGGGTGGCAATACCACAACCCCCTACAATAACATTGTGACCCCCCCCATCCTCTTTTGAGTTGGGACCCCCAGTTTGAGAAACACTGTTCTCCCCTGTGAAATCTGTATAGTATAGGGTAAAAGTTCACAAGAGACCAGATTTCACAGGGGAGACCAGATTTCACAGTCCATTGTATGTTTTTCACAGCCATGAAATTTGGTAGGGCCCTAATTATAATGCAGGAAAGGTTCCGCAATTATTAGATATTGCCTTGAATCGGAAGGGCAGAAATAAATGGGGCCCTATTGACATTTTTGCAAGGATTCCCCAAAACTGTAGTGAGCCAGAGGGAAAGCAGACCATGTGCATCAATGTAACTTTCAAATGTTTTTGTATAAAATTCACTGAGATGTCAGAGAGCTTGTGTCCTATTGCAATGAAGCATTAATAAAGTACTTCTCTGTAGTGATAATATAGCAGTACTGACCGATTCCAGTCAAGTTCAGAATAAAGATGGGTTATTACAAGGTAGTAATAAAGGTTGGTTTTATTTTTAGCTAAAAAAAATCTAATTTACTTGTCTTATAGGCTGGAAAACAGTTTAAATATTTATACAACTGTGAAATATGCCCTGCACTATCAGCATGCTAGGTCATTTGGCTTAGACATTCGAAGAACTTCTCTTTAATACTGATCCAAGTACATGTTGTTCTGGAAAGTTTTCAATAGCAGCATTTTCATCTAGAGCCAGAACTCACTCGTTTTCAAGCTCTCTTCTCCTCTGTACTTTATCTTAAGTGGGGAAATGTATGTTAGTTGCAGCACATTTAACTTAATTTTATTTAGTTTTTCAGGTGCACTTATGTATTTGGATAATCTTTAAAGGAAACAGTTGTAGGGAATGTAATTTATTTGCAATATTGTTTCTCGTGCTAATTTGTAGGACAAAATTTGAGGGAAAATTTAATTGATAAAGATAGAAGTTGCAGTTATCATTTATAGTCCAAATGGGACCCTGGATCCTTACACCCGAGTTTCATGATAATTTGTATCCCAAACTAGAGGCAAATATCATAGCTTGGGCCCAACTCTAATTGAGATTAGTAATCTGTTGTTAATCTAGTCATTATAAAATCTGTTTAAAGAACGTTAATCCCAGCAAGAGCTGAAAGTGCTGGAGAGTTAGTGCTCTGCTCAGAGATTAAAGCATAACCTTGCTCTTCAAATGATCTCTAACAGGCAACTCAGAACTGCAGCCAGTCCTCCCCCAGCAGAGAGACAAGTCACCATGACATTTGAGGGCTAAGGATTCAAGAGGAATCCAGGAAAACCACTAAGCAAACCCACTTACTAATATTAACATTAGCCTCTTACACATATTGAAAAGGTCAGAAAATCCAAAGCTATGGCTCATGGTTTGCCCTGAAATCATTCTGTTCTGGAGGGATAAGAGTGGGGAGCTCACATCATCCTGAAATACGGGGCAGCCTCAGGCTCAATCATGAATTTTTTGGCTTTTAACAGCACTGCAACTATGCTATTTAAATATGATTTTTAAACAGTAAAACATCCCCGGGGGATGTTCAGGCTTGGAGTTTTTTGTGTGTTTTTAAAGGAACTTTTTTTCTGGAAGGTTTTTAGCAGTGTAGTGCGAGCCCGATGAGCTTGAATCTGTAGACCCAGGCTCTGAGATTTGCTGCCATAGGTTTTAAAATACAGTGTAGATGTACCCTAATTAGCCTTCCCTGAAAGCAGTCTCTACTGGCTCCACATATGTCAACATGGAAGGTGGAATGGAGGATTAAAATGAGGCCGTGAGATCTCCAACTACGTAGATCCAGTCATTGTAACAGATTGTGCAAACAATGAAGAAGAGCAATCCAAAGGTTCCACTGTAGCCCTGCATCTTGGCCAGATTAGAGTGTTAATTCCCCTCTCCAAAAACTGTACATTTTATATCTCAATTTATTTGGAGTGGTGACTTCATGCATCTCCAATTAATATTTAATAAAGCAGTATATATTATGTTTAATTTTAAATCAAGAAACGCCACACATTTCACCCATAAAGACAAATTACTCTGGCTTTATGCAGGGACCATAAATTTAGTCCAAATAGTCATTTTAAAAATTAATTTACATACCCAACCACACCCAAAGCCATCACTCTGCCCTGTTGGATCACTGCAATATGTTGTTGTGCTATGCTTTAAATGTGTATCCAACTGAAGGCTGACAGCTCCAAAAGAGTTGATCCCTTTTAGTTACGTACGCAGAATGTGCTATATTGTGTGTAGAAAAAAAAATCCTTCAGACAACATCTGAAAACTATATACTAAACAGCAGATACCAGTTTGAACCTAGATTGTCTTGGACATTTTGATTAGCTCACTTAACACATCAGAAAAAATATTAAGCTGCACTAGTTGGAACGGGAGAAGAGACAGAACATTTAGGGTGGGAGTTTCAAATGAGTTAAGGGAGTTAAGTATCAGAGGGGTAGCCGTGTTAGTCTGGATCTGTAAAAAGCAACCGAGAGTCCCGTCTGACAAAATGGGTATTCACCCACGAAAGCTTATGCTCCAATACATCTATTAGTCTTAAAGGTGCCACAGGACTCTCTGTTGCTTTTTAAGGGAGTTAGTTACCCAACTCCCACTGAATGCCAATGGGAGCTGGAAGCCTAAACCCCATAGACTCTATAGAAAATCCCAGCCTAAATTGATTTCAAAATGGGGAGAGATTGAGAGAGAAACACACAGAATGAAAAAGATAATGCATCAGAGCACATGAACTGCTTTGGAGCACTGTGTCTATTAACTCTTTTAAATTTTGCTTTTTGACTTTCCTGTAATGTCCTCAATGAGTTCAGGGAGTATATGGATTCTGTGGATAGATATTATCCCAATTAAAATGTCAAAATACTGAGGAACAAAATGCTCACTATTCTGATATTTCTACTCTTTTTCAAAATTCAGCTCTGCCTAACAGGTCACCTCATGACACATGGAATCTTGTTCCACTCCCACATAAGGAAACCATAAGGATTAACTGGAGCCCTGTGGATTCACTGTACGTGCATTACAGTGACTCCAGTAGAAGCCAGGCTTGCAAATACAGCCATTCAATGAGAGATTTGGACAGGGCTCAAAATGCTTCTGGCATTTTTGCCACCATTTTGTGGCGAGGGCTGCTAGAGCTGCATCTGTAATGGGGCTCCCAGATGTCCTGGTACCAATTTGGGTAGTCTGATGAGCGTGCCAGTTCGTTTTGTTTTTGTGGAATTCCCTAGTGTAGACAAGATTTAATTTCATCTCTGGAAAGTGCCACGGTGAAATATATAAATGAAGGATTATGATGATAGAGCAAAATACAATTTAAACATCAGGATATTGGTGGCAACATATCTAGTGCTTTTTGTATGAACCGCCACTTTAACATTTTCCATTAGCATTTGACATAACAAAATCCCACTTCTTGGGGCTCAAGTATTAAAAAGCATCTTAGGTTAAAGATCAACTTTTACCGAAGTCTGAGTTTTCACTTAACAGTTACAATTTCTTGTTCTGAAGACACATTTGTGAATTAGTTCTCCTTGCAGAGACCACAGTTCAGAGAATATAAAATGTGTAACATGGAACAACAGTACCTATACTTTAAAAACACCAGTACAGAATAAACCGTACTCCCTCCGGAAGGGAATAACCTGACCTGCTGTGGCACCAATACACAAGACAGCATTAGATTAGCCATTCAGATGCCTCTAGTGGGGCTCTTAACCAATCAGTCTGTACTAGAGATGGTCAAGAGAGAGCAGAATGTTGAATTTGGAAAAAAAACTAATTATGCAGCTCAGCAACTAATACGATGTTATGTGCAATGCAAAAAAACAAAATAACAGTGTTTCTCCAGGGGTCGGTCTGGTATGGTTAAGTATCCAGCATTGCTGGGGTAAAAAAATTAAGTTGTAAATAGCCATTTAGACACAAGCAAATCTGGTCCTAGGCACATGCAATACAAGCAACTGTTTGGTCCCTATACTTCTGTACTCCCTCTAAATCCCCCACATTTTGTGCTGATTTAGCAATTCACAGGGTGACCCACTCTCCACTCCAGAAGCCGGTCTGACAGTTGGAGGAAATTTACTGCCAAATGGGATTG